GCCGGGGGCCTGGGAAGGACCACCGGCCGACCCCCCGCCCGGGCCGCCGCCGCCTGGGCCGCCGCCACCCCGGTCCCCTGCGCCCGGCGGGCCCGGTGGAGGGCCTCCCCCAGCGCCACCGGCTCCCCCAGACCCCCCGCCCCCGCCTGCGGGTGGCGGTGGCCCGGGCGGGGGTCCTCCCGTGCTGTAGTCCGACATGGCGCGGCGGGGCCGGGCCTGGCGCGGAGGCTGAAGCTGAGGAGGAGGAGGCGGCGGCGGCGGCTCAACGCGGGAACAAGGCCTCGCTCCACAAGGCCGCGGAGCACTCTGGGAACCCAGCGGCTGGGAAGACTACGAGGGGGGCGAGGGACGCCCCCGACGGCGCCGCTGGGCCAATAGGAAGCCGCCGCCGCTCCCCGGACACCAATCGCGGGCTCTGTAGGCGAGTGACCAATCGGAGTGCCGCGAGAGGCAATGGGCGGGAGGCGCTGTGTGACTGAAAGCTCTCGGAGGCAATGAGCTGTGGGTTGCGGGCCCTGTGCGGGCAAATCAAGGTGATCCAGAAGGCGGGAGGCCCAATAAAGCTGGACGTACAGAATCGCGGGGCGGCTTCAGAAATGGACAGGAAGGCGGGGCCCAGCGAAAGGCCCTTTTGAAGTGGCTGGGCGGGCACCCTGTGAGATTGTCGTGTACGCAAGCCAATGAGTACACGCGGAAGGCGGTGCTTGTAAGGATTGACAGTCAATTTAATCCAATCCCTGGCGAGTTTTGGTGACGTGCTTGCGTTTGGACGGGATTACTGTCCATGTTAACCAGAATCCTTGTCTAGCCTTGACTTCAAAGCCAACGGCTGAGCGACGGGGGCGGGTGTTAAGTAACTAACTCCGCTCCGGACAAGTAGCAATCAAGTAAAGGTGCCCAGTTTTGGTGGGAGCCAGTGGAAGCGCAGCTGCATTGGGGCGGAGCCGGCCACCAGACGGCTTTAGGGGATTAGCCGGAGCGGGGAATGAGTGGCAGCAGACGTAGGCAGTGGTAACCGACTGCCGGAATTCAGGCCTGACGTCAGGGTTAGCTCCTCTGGAGCCTGGCTGGGTAGGCCATGCACGTGGCCTGCTTGAGGCCTTGGAGTTCGGGTACTTACGGAGGTGAAGCGGTCCAAAAGCAGGAGGAAACCCAGGGATCCCCTGTACCTCCTCTCTTCTCTCCACCCAGGGATCTCTTCCAGGACCCATGGAACCAGCTCCTTTCCTGAACTCAAGGGTCTTGGGCCATTGGTTCCCTCCCAGGACTGAGGGATCCCAGACCTTAATTCCATACCCCACATGCTTCACTTAAGGCCCTGGGATCCGAACTTCAAGCTCCGATCCTAGGTCCTTAACTTCTCTCCTAGACCAGGCATCATCCAGGCTTCCCATTCAGGACCGAGGGGCCCAAGGTACCCAGCCCCTTTCCAGGACCCAGGGAGCCCAGATATACTGCTCCTCCTTGGACCCAAGTATCCAGGTCCCATCTCCCCTCGTGGACCCAAGTAATCCAGACATGTCTAGCAGAAATCATCTCTTTATTCCTGGTTTGTTTATTCCACTTTCACCATATCACCCTGGCACCAGGACAGACCACTATGAGACAAACTGGAGTCCAAACTTGTCTCAGGCTTCATCCTGGGGAGGGGGCCCCAGGCATCTTCTGACCCAGGCCCCCAGCTTGCTTGTACTGACGAACACTGCCCTGGGGCCTGAGCCTGGGGGGCTCCTGTCCATTTCTGCCCGGGTGTGTCACTTAGCTCACTGCCTATATTCCCAGGGTCTTCTTCATGGCTTCATATACCATGTAGTTGATGCTTCCAGCTGGCAAAACCTTCAGTAAGGTGGGGGTCATGCCTCGGTATAGCCCCCTCCAGCCCTGCTGGGCCAGGATACCCCGGAAGACTCCGCACATGGTGGGGTTCGAACCCTCCATGGTGTCTGTGGAGACAGGGACAAGCTCAAGGCCTCAGTCAGAGATGACCCAGCCCCTGGGAGGGCTGGAATGTTGGGAAGTGGTGGGGTGAAGCCAGGCGCAGGGGTCTGGCAGGTTGGTTGGAAAGGCGTTTGGAAGACTTTTAGAGGAAATTGGTCAGTTTGGGGAGAGTACGGAGATCAATTCTGGCAGGAATTTTCAGGTTTTGTTTTCGGGAACATCTTAGAAAACATTCGAGCTTATTTGGGAGGGAACTTCTAAGATCTACTAGAGATTTTGTGGAGTGTGTTGAGTAGTTTAGGGACATTTTCAAGATGAAGGTGGTTGGCTAAGGACCCGTTTGGATGTTTGAGGATTGATTTAGAGGCTGAGAGTCCATTCGAGGGAATCACATTTGGGGAATTTCCAGGGTTGCGGGGAAAGTGGTTATGAGTTTTGGCATATCTAAGGGTCAGATTTGATGAATTTAGGGACTGTTTTGAGTTTGGGAGCCAATGTATGTGGGCGTCATTTGGGGGATGGATGTTCATTTTAGTAATTTGTAGTGTTAATTTGAGGGCTGGGATCAGATTTGGGGGTGAGTATAAGTCTTGGTGGGTTCAAGGGTCAGCAAAGGAGGCCAGGATCAGATGTGGAGAGTTTGGGGATATGAGAAAGTTCAGAGAGGGGAAGTAAAGGGGGAAGGGGCATACACCGTGGCCACTAAGGCCTGGCTGACCTTGAGCCTGCATCCTGGTGCGCACCAAAGTCAGAGGGTAACTGGCCATCTGGCCACAGGTCGTGGACAGTGTCACAGATGACAGACTGACCAGGCCACTAGGGTCCTCCATGTCCCTGCCTGACTTCAGCCAGAAGCACCTGAGCATCTGCAAGAGAAAAGGGGACAGGAGGAAGCTCACTAGGGCCTGGGTTCACACCACCCCTGCCACTACCTCCTCAGAACCCACACCTCATAGACGACCAGGTCGGTGCAGGAGTAAGGGATGATGCCAAGCATATTGGGCAGGTAGCCACGGTAAAGGGCGCGGGTGCCCTCCCGCTCCAGGATCTGCCTGGCACAGTCTAGTAGCCCCTTGTACTGGCCTGTCCGGCGCAGGGTCAGCCGTGTCTTCAGCACCTGGGGAGAGTGAGGAGTGAGGCAGCTCATTTGATTTAATCCTCTCAACAACCCTCAGGAGTGGCCACTGTCCCCATCAACAAATGAGGAAACTACTCAGGAATGTGCAGAGCTGGGTGTCAAACCCAGAGCCCCCTGTTCCATCGCTTGGCTTGTGTGTGCTCTCAACCCAGGGTTCAGGAGCTTAAGTGCTGACGGGCCAAGAGGGGAAGTGAAGTGACATGAGCCAAGTAGGGTCTGTGGTAGCTTCCACCTAACACCAGCCAAATGTAGCACCCTGAGCATGTAGGCCTCAGGTGGCCAGATATGCCAATTTTCTGAAAGAGCCAGAAATCAGAATTTTTATTGAAATTCCTCAATATAAAAATATTGGCAACTCTATAATTGCACAAAAGACAGAACATCAAGTGTGGTAGACAAGATTCTAAGGTGGTCCCCAAGATTCCTGCCCCCTGATATGCATGCTTTGTATAATGCCCCCCACTACCACCCCCGGACCCCGAGTGTGGGCTAGACCTGTGAACATGATGGGATGTCACTCCCCTGATCAGGTTACATGATAATGACAAAGTTGACAGGATTTTGCAGATGTAATAAAGGTCTCCTAAGCAGTCAACTTTAAACAAATCAAGAGAAATTGTCCTGGATGGGCCTGACCTAATCAGGAGGGCCAGTTTTAAAAAGGTCTATTGCCAGAGACAGAAGTAACAAGATTGGAAGCATCAGAGACACTCTCCAGTTGGTCTGAAACAAGCATACTCTTGTGGAGAGGACCATGTGGCAGGAACAGTGGGTGGCCTCTAGAAACGGAGGACAACCATAAACAACTGAATCCTGCCAACAACCAGGAAGCTTGGCAGATAACCTGAGCCTTGGGTGGATTCGTTGGTAACCCAGCTGACACCTTAATTTTTGCCTGATGAAACGCTGAGCAGATGACCCGACTAGCCAGTGCCCAGACATGACCCACAGAAACAATGAGATGATGATCTATCATTTTAAGCTAATTGAGTCTGTGGTAATTTGTTATGCAGCTGATGAAAACAAATACACTTTGGAAGAAACTTAACCAGACAAGGACAAGAATTATATGAAGAAAACTTTAAAAGACCATTAAAGAACATAAAAGGAGATTTGAACAAATGAATGTTTTCCTGGATACATGGATTCAACATCATATGGATGGCAATAATTTCTAACTTATTTATGAACTGAACAACACCATCCCAGCCAAAAAAACAAAAAATACCAATAGGTGAATTTGTCTTCTGAACTAGACAAGTTGCTTCTAAAGTTTATATGGGAAAACCAACAGAGGATAATAGCCTGGAAAACTGATAAAGGAGAGGGATGGAGAATGATAAAATGTAATACCAAGCCTCAAAAATGAAAGACAGAGGCAGAACTAGACAGTACAATGATCAGTGCTTGCCAGGAATTCAGGGGTAAGGAGGGAGGGTGAATAGGCAAGAGTGGGGCCGGCCGAGTGGCGCGGTGGTTAAGAACTCGCTTGGGATGCCAGAGGGCCCCGGTTCAGATCCCACATATGAGGGCCAGTGACACTGCCCTCTACAGCTGAGATGCTGAGCAACGGCTCGACCTGGAGCTGGGCTGCTGTGGGGCGACAGCGACGGCGTGGGCTGCAGTCCCTGTGGCAGTGGGTTGCCATGGGCTACCGTGTGTAGCCATGGGCTACCGTGTGTAGCCAGCAGCCAGCGTGAGCGGCCAGCAGCCGCAGTGAACGGCCATCCAGAAGCCGGCGACTGATCTGCCTCATCAGGGAAGGTGCAATGATGGTGCCAACTTGGGCCAGTGAAGCAACATCCTCCACAACTAGACTGAAGAACAAAACGACAGCAACTTGTCTGTCCCCCTTCCCCCAATTCCCCAGCACTGTTCCCATCCCCCCAATTCACCAATAAAAATCTTTAAAAAAAAAATAGGTAAGAGTGGCTTTTAAAAAAAAATAGGTAAGAATGGCTTTTTAGGGCAGTGGAACTATTCTGTATGATACTGCAGTGGTGGACACACATCATTACACATTTGTTAAAACCTGTGGAATGTTCAACACCAAGACTGCACCCTACCTAATGTCAACTGTGGGCTTTAGTTAATAACAATGCATCCATAATGGTTCATCAATTGTAACAAATATCCAACCCAATGGAAGATGTGAATAATAGCGGACACTTTGTATATGTGGGAAGAATTATATGAGAACTGTCTGTACTTTTCTGCCCAAATTTTCTGTCAACCTAAAAATGCTCCACAAAATAGTCTATTCATTAAAAAATAATAGTAGTAGTAGTAGTAGTGCATGAACAGACACCAGAGAAACAGGAGACAGGCCAGATATAAACCCAAATACATACAGGAATTTTCTAAATTACAAAGGTGGCATCTTGAATCATTGAGGAAGAAAGAATGGGACCCACTCAGTAAATAGTGTTGAGGTGACTGGATAACCATCTGAAATAAAAGTTTGATATATATCTTACATGAAGGAGGAGGGGGAGGAGAAAGCAGTAGCACCCCACAACTAATTTTCATTTTGTTTTATCTTCTGTGAGGTATTCTCTTACCTCCATGGGGTTGATGAGTGTCTGGGAGGTGGCCACAGCCAGAGAGCTGGCAATGAGACGTTCTTGAAAGGGTGGGGACCCATGAGCTCCACAGAAATAATTCTTACACTAGGACAGGAAGAGGAGCATGAGAGAATAACCATCTTCCTACCTGACACCCATCCAGGGGGAGAGGTCTGGGACCTGGAGAGTGAATGTGTCTTGGATAATGATCTGGACTTTGGGGGCGGAGGTTGTGGGTATGGGAGAAGTGAGGGCTTGAGGGTGTGGCTGGGGAAAACAGACCATTCCCCACCTGTTCGAAGACGGAGAACTTGATGGCATACTCGGGGGCGATCTTGAGTACATTGATCCCGTTGCCCCGCCATAGGGAGCGGAAGCCCCCTTCGTGGACCATGCTCCGTAGCCCCCCCAGCAGGTTCATGAAGTTTGACTTGGAGGAGTAGACCTGGGGGTAGGGAGGCCCCTAGCCCTGTGAGAAGCCCTCCACCCTATCTCCATCCCCATCCCATCCTGGAGCTCAAGCCCATCCTGTCCCCAGCCACCCAACCCTAACCCCTCCAATCCCCATTCCTTCTCTAGCTCCTTCCCTGGCTAGTCCTAAAATTATCTAACCCAACGCAGACCTAAACCCAATACCGAGCCACATTCCCTCTTCCCTCATATTGCTCTCCTCTCCAGTCCTACTTTGTCTTCAAAGCCATCCAAAGACCCCTATCCCCAATTCCCCGATCCCCACCCAACCCTGTCCCTGGTACCATTCTCTCAACTGCTTCCCCAACTCTTCTCCATGCCCCACCTACATCAGCTCCATCATCATCTCCAACTCAAACCCCCACCCCATCTCCATTCAGCCTCCTTCTAACTCTAGCCCATGTCCCAACCCCATCCTCCTACCTGTTTCCAGTCAAATCCACCACTCCCATTCTGAACTCTATCAGCTCCACTTCTGTCCATTCCCACCCCAGTGGCCCCAGCACTGTGCTCCCCCTCTCCTCCCCCCACACACCTGCATGTACACCTTGGCACGGTCCAGAGGTGCTGTGCCAGTGCGAGACACTGCCCCAGCCATGGCTCCTGAGAGCAGGAACTTCCACCAGGCTCCCTCATTTCCCACTTCCAGAACATCCATGGGGACTATCAGCTGCTCTCCAGTGTCGAGCACCTGCAGGGCAGACCCAGTTCTTGCCCAGCTCTTGCCTGTGCTCAGCCAGGCTGGAACTGCTTCCCCAGACACATCTCCAGAACCCCTCCTGGTGAAAGGTCTACCCTGGTCCTCACTACTTCAAGATGAAATTCTAGGAGGGGAGTGGGCCGTGCAGAGGGGTTGGGCAGTATGGCTTTCTCCTCTTGCAGTCCTGGCTAGAGATACTGCACGACCTGTAGTTCCCAACTCACCTGCTGTGACGGGAGGTGCTGCAGGTCATTTTCATGCATGTTCCCGAACACATACCCATACACATGTGTATAGCCCAGGTTCCGAGAGATGGGGGGTGGGGGCAGAGCTTTGGTGAATAAGGCTTTGACACTCTTAAACAGTGTCTGGACCCTTGAGCAAGGCTTCTGAACTTCCTCAGGTTTGGCTCCCATGGCAGCTAGAGAGTCAGCACACTGAGGTTCAAATTCCTGATGAGAGGTTTGCCTACTAGCAACCATGTGGGAGGGGCGCCTTGTAAATTTGAGTCCCAGGGGATGATGAGGTCACAGAGGCCCTTGTGACCTAGCTATATATGATGGGCAGAGTGAGGGCCTCGCCCTAAGATCTCCACATCCTAATCCCTCTAAACCTGTGAAGGTGTTATGTTATATGAGAAAGGGAGAATTGAGGTTGTGGATGGAATTTAGGTTACTAACCAGCAGAAGAAGACATGGAGAGGTTATTCTGGATTAACTGAATAGGCCCAATGTAATCTCATGAGTACTTAGACAGGGAAGAGGGAGTCAGGACAGCTGGTGTTGGAGTGATATGATGTAAAAATACTTTAAGGCTTTTTGCTGGCTTCAAAGATGGAGGAAGGGGCTGCCAGCCACGGAATGCAGGCAGCCTCTAGAAGGTGGAAAAGGCTAGGAAACAGATTCTCCCCTAGAGCCTCCAGAAACAGCCAGCCCTGCTGACGCTTGATTTTAGCCTAGTGAGACCCATGTCAGGCTTCTGCTCTCTAGAATAATACATCTGTGTAGTTTTTTGTTTTTGTTTTGTTTTTAGATTTTTTGGGGGGGAGGGAATTGGGGGGATGGGAACAGTGCTGGGAAATTGGGGGAAGGGGAACAGACAAGTTGCTGTCGTTTTGTTCTTCAGTCTAGTTGTGGCGAACGTTGCTTCACTGGCCCAAGTTGGCACCATCATTGCGCTCTTCCCGGGCGAGGCAGATCAGTCGCCGGCTTCTGGACGGCCGCTCACGCTGGCTGCTGGCTACACACGGTAGCCCATGGCAACCCATTGCCACAGGGGCTGCAGCCTACGCTGTGCGGGCGACTCACGGCAGCCCAGCTCCAGGTTGAGCTGTTGTTCAGCATCTTAGCTGTGGAGGGCAGTGTCACTGGCCCTCATATGTGGGATCCGAACCGGGGCCCTCTGGCGTCCCAAGCCAGCTCTTAACCAATGCGCCACTCGGCTGGCCCCATCTGTGTAGTTTTAAGCCACCAGGTTTGGGGTTATTTGGTATAGCAGCCATCGGAAACTGATACACTGTGTTTCATTGTCATGGCAATAGGAAATGGAAGTGAGAATGGAAAGGCCTGGAGTACTGGGGGAAAGAGACACAGTGGGTTCCCAAAGGAAGACAGGCATAGGTTTGGAGTCAGAAAGACCTTGGTTTGAATCTTATCTCAGACACTTCTTGCTGTGTGTGACCGTGGGGTACTCGCTTTACTTCTTTGAACTTCAGTTTCCCCATCTGGAAATTAGAAGTAATGCTAAGCTCTACCACATAGTGCTGTCAATAGGATCCATCAAGAGTTCGTTGAGGGCACCTCCATTCTCCAAGTTCTTTGGATCAAAAACCTTGATGTGATCCCTGATTCCTCCTTTTCTCTCATGTCCACACTCTCATCAAATCCTGTGGGCTTAACCTTCAAAACACGATGTCTGACAATTAAGTTCACGAACTTGCCACCATGTGCTTACATTGGCAGCTCTGTACAAACGGCTCAGTAAGGTTTCATAACCTTGGTGTATCAGTGTCTCACAGCCATGTTCGTGTCGACGTGTGGTGGTGCCTTGCTAAGTGGTGTTTATTGTTGTTGTTGCATGTTTTTGTGTGCCGTTGTGAGAATGTCTGAGCTTGAATTAGAACAACAAACGAACATTAAATTTCTTGTTAAACTTGGCAAGAGTGGAAATGAAGTCAGGGACATGTTAGTCCAAGTTTATGGGGATAATGCCATGAAGAAAATGGCAGTGTACAAATGGATTAAATGTTTTTCTGAGGGGAGAAAACGCGTCACTGATAAAGAGAGGTCAGGGCGGCCAGTAACGAGCAGAACTGATGAAAACATTGCAAAAATTAATCCAGTTGTGCGTCCAAATTCTTGGCTGACTGTGAGAAGCATAGCAGATCAAATAAACATCGATAGAGAAACAGTTAGGAAAATCTCGGCATGAGAAAGGTGTGTGCAAAAATGGTCCCAAAGGAGCTCACCAATGATCAAACGCAAAGGAAAGCCGAATTTTGCCAAGACCTTTTGGAGAGGCAAGACGATGTTTTGGGCCGTGTTATCACTGGTGGTGAAACATGGGTGTACCAATACGACCCTGAAACAAAGCGTCAAAGCGCACAATGGAAGTCAGCCAATTCTCCATGACCATAAAGTTCTGTCAGTCCAAATCAAGAGTCAAAACGATGATGTTGCTAACCTTTTTTGATATCAGAGGGATTATTCATTATGAATTTGTACCAACTGGACAAACAGTTAACCAAGTTTACTATTTGGAAGTGCTGAAAATGCTGCGTGAAAAAGTTAGATGAAAACAACCTGAACTTTTCGCCAACAATTCATGGCTCTTGCACCAGATCACACGACATTGTCTGTGAGGGAGTTTTTAGCCAGTAAACAAATAATGTATTGGAACACCCTCCCTACTCACCTGATCTGGCCCCTCATGACTCCTTTCTTTACCCAAAGATAAAGGAAATATAGAAAGAAAGACATTTTGATGACATTCAGGACATCAAAGGTAATATGACGACAGCTCTGATGGCCATTCTGGAAAAAGAGTTCCAAAATGGTTTTGAAGGGTGGACTAAGTGCTGGCATTGGTGCATAGCTTCCCAAGGGGAGTACTTCAAGGGTGACTGTAGTGATATTCAGCAATGAGGTACGTAGTACTTATTCTAGGGTGAGTCGCAAACTTAATTGCCATACCTCATATATCCAGAATCTGGCTGCTGCTTACCATGTTCAGGGCCGCCACCCTGGTCCAGCCTCATCCAGCTCTTGGACCAGTGCAGTCACCTCCACCCTAGTCACACCTGTTCCCCCCTTTGCATTTGCCTCCCCCTAGTCTGTCCTCCCTATAGCAGCCATCAGAAGACACCTGTGAGCTCCTGAGTGAGGCCCTATGTCTGCTCTGCCCACAGCCCTCCAGGATAACAGCCCAAATCCTTCCTGTGGCCCACAGGCTCTGCACGACCTGTCCGCATCCCCTCCCTGCCATCACCTCCTCCCTCTCTCCCCCTCTCTCACTCTGCTCCAGCCACACAGGCCTCTTCCCTGTTCCTCCAAAACGCTAGGCCCAGTTCTGCCCCAGGACCTTTGTACTGGCTCTCCCACTGCCTGGGATACGATTCCCCTACACATCCCCATCGGTCCCTCCTTCACCATCTTTAAATCTGTATTCAGATGTCACCTCCTTGAGGCCTCCCTGACCACTGTATTTAACATTTAAACTCCACTCTGCAGTATTCCTTATCTCCCTTCCCTTCTTTATTTTACTCCATAGCACCTTTGCTTTCTACACTGCTATGTATTCACTCAGTTATGCTATTTATTGTTACTGCCTCCCCACTGAAATGTAGAGTCTATGTTTCTTCATTCAGTTATGTATCCTATGTCCAGAATTGGATCTGGCCCAAAGTAATTGTTCAATAAATATATGATGAGTAAATGAATGAGATAATACATTAAAGGGCTTAGCATAGAGCGAGGGTACATAGTACTTGCTCAACAAATGTAAGTTGTTCTCCTTTGCAAGATGTCAGTGGAAACACCCTTTATTTTGTAGGTGGGGAAACTGAGGCTTAGAGAGAGAAAAGCAGCCTGTATGGTGTGACACCACATGCCAGTTAGCAGAGCCTCCTAAATCCCAGCCATAATCTCATGGGATATAAGAATGCAGACAAAAAAAATGGATGTTAGCTGGTCCAATTAAATAAAATTAAAATGCTAACAGTTGATTCCAGTGTGACGGCAGTGAAATTGGTAATGCTAATTTCTTGTTGGTAGTTGTGTATATTACAATTTTCCTCGTGGCACGACTCCGAGATAGCCATATCTTTTGACCCAGCAAACCCCTCCTGGGAATCAATGCTAAGGACAGAATTCAAATGAAGTAAAAATACAAAATAGTTAACAAGGCTTGATCCCTTATTTGTATGAAAAATCATATCTATGGATATGTATATGTATCAGTTAGTTATCGCTGCATAACAAATTATCCCCCCCCCAAACACACACATTACAGCAGCTTAAAACACAACGATGGTAGCTGCAGTGTCTCTTATAACCTAATCTTGGCAGTGAGTATCATTGCTTCTGCTGTATTTTCTTGGTCATACAGACCCACCTTGTAATCCCCTTGAGAGAGAGGATTACATAAGAATGTAAATACTAGGAGTCAGAAGTCACTAGGGAACATCTTGAAGAGTGATCACCACAGTCCACACCAGAAAAAGTTTGGACATACTCATATGAAGACAGGCAGAAATTAGAGTGATGTATCTGCAAGCCAAAGAGTACCAAGGATTGCTGGCAGCCACCAGAAGCTGGAAGAGGCAGAAAGGACTCTCTCCGGGAGCCTTCAGAGGGAGCACGATTGTGCTGACAGTTTGATTTCAGACTTCTGCCCTCCAAAACTGTGAGAAAATACATTTCTGTTGTTTTTATTCGTGATAGCCAAAAGGTGAGAACAACCCAAGTATCCACTGATGGACAAATGGATAAACAGTGTGGTCCATCCAGGCAATGAAATGTTATTCAGCCTTAAAGAGGAAGGACATTCTGGCACCTACAATATGGATGGACCTTGAGGACGTGATGATGCTCAAGGAGATAAGTCAGACAGAGGACAAATACTGTGTGGTTTCACTCACAGGAGGTCCCCAGAGGAGTCAGATTCATAGAGACAGAGAGTAGATGGTGGGGGGCAGGGGCTGGGGGAGCGGAGGGGAGTGAGTGTTTGGGAAGATGAGAAAGTTCTGGAGATAGATGGTGGGGAATGTTGCACAACAACATGAGTGTATTTAATGCCACTAAGCTGTGCACTTAAAATGGTTAAGATGGTACATTTTATGTCATGTGTATTTTACCACAATTAAAAAATATATCTAACGTTTGTTGTTTTAAGCCCCATTTGTGGTAACTTGTTACCACAGGCGCCAGGAAATGTATACACGTGTGTAATCAGAAACAATATGGGAAAAATTAGAAGGGCTCCTGATATGGACTTCTCCCTGCCCCCACTTTATAGATGTGGAAACTGAGGCTCAAAGAGGGAGTTGGTCTCCTCCAACTGTGAGTGATGGAAGATGGTCCATGTCCCTTCCCCGTGGGTAGTTTGAAGGGGTCCCGCAGCTACCCATCCTTTTTCAGTAAAAACCACAATGAAAAGAGCTTAGAAAATGTATTCCTTTTGTTCTTTTCCTTTGAAATAACACACACAGGCAGGGAGGTGGGGTATGGTGTAGGTGGAGGGAGGTGGAAGCCTTGGGGGTCCTCCACCCACTACAAACATCCCAGTTCCTCTTCCACAGTCTTTTAATGGGTTCCCCAAGGACTTGCGAGGAGTGGAGGGAGGGGTCCCCCAGTTATCCTAAGCTCAGAATCCAACTATAAAGTACAGAATGTATGAGGGGATGTTGGGGGCTTGGGTTAGTTGTGACAGTGGGGGTATGGGAGATGTCTGCTTCTCTCCATAGAAAAATAGACCAGAAGTGAGTTCTGGGGATTTGGTCCATTTTGCATAATTGGATGCTTGGGTTTAGGGAAAGGTGGTCTATGTAGATTTGCTCCTGACTTCCACCTTTGAAGCCTGGGAAGAGGCTGGAAGTACTGGGGTTGAGGGGAGGTCCTTTAATGTGTCCCTCACCTCAGATTGCCTCCTTGCCAGCCCCCAAGAAGGAGCAGCTGGCTCCTCCAGAGGGACCCAGGCTCTGGGGGTTATCAGCCTGTAAGGTGGGAAGCGAGTGGAAGGTGCTGCTGAGGGCTGGAGGGAACCACTGAAGGGAGCAGTGTGCCCACAGGGCCCAGAGGTGTGGCCATGTGAGGGAGGTGGGGGTGGACCCAGTGGCAGTGTGAGGTGTGCGAGGGGCATCTAGCCATGGCAGGACACTGGACAAGTCCCATGCATTTTCTGGAGCCAGGAGGCCAGGACCTGGGGTTCCCGCAGGCTCCCTATACTACTCGTGTTATGGCGGGGGAGGTCTCTGGGCTCTGGTGTGTGTTTGGGATGGGGGACACGTGGGACCCAGGATGCTGTGATCAGCCTATTGGGATCTAGACATAGGGTCTGAGTGTTCAGGAGCCAGTGCCTGGGAGGACTGGAGTCAGAAACCAGGGACTAAGGGGTTGGGACCTAGTGCCTAGAAGTGTCAGGATCCATTTCCTGAGTGAGGTTCCAGTATCCGGGGCCCACTCGTTCTGCCTCTGGGCTCTTGCGGTTTGAGGAGCCAGGATCTGGCAGGTCAGGGCTTGGGGATCTGAGACCGGCAGGTCGAGGTTTGAGGGTGTAGTAGTTGAAATGTAGGGATCCAGTAGTTGAAGCAGAAAGATTTGGGATCCAGGGTGGAGGTCACGTAATTCAGGAATACAGTGGCTGGGGTGAGGGGATCTGGGATCCAGTGTGGGGACCCCAGGATCGGGGCATTTCACTGTCAGGATGTGGTGGCTGAGGCTTCTTGATATCCAGAATCCAGTGGCCAAAATTGGATATCCAAGGCTTAAAGCATGGGGATCTGGGATCCGCCGGTGGAATTGGGGATCTGGGACCCAGTGTGGTATGAGCACCCTGGACCTGGTGCCTGAGGGAGCTGGAGTCTGAGTGCTTAGATACGGGGATATGTGCTCCTGTGGTTGGGGTTTCAGGATCGGTTAGCTGGGTTGTGGGGGGTCCAGTGGTTAAGACACTGAGGTCCAGGTCCCAGTGTGTGCGTGGGACAGGGAAACACGGGAGCCAACAGCTTGACGTGGGATGCAGGACCCAGTAGATGAAGCGTGGGGACCCTGCGGTTTGAGTGTGTGTGTGGGGGTGTCCCTGGGATCCGTTGGCTGGGCCATCAGTCTCCAGTGGCTGAGGTACGCGGGACGTCATGACTGAGGTGAGGGATCTTCGTGGGGGTGGCTCTGGGTCCCTCACCTGGATGTTACCCCCAGGGCCTGCTTCATGTTCTCGTAGACCACATAGGAGATGCTCACAGCCGGGATAACCTTCATGAAGTTGGGGGCGATGCCCCGGTAGAGGCCCAGCACGCCCTCCTGGGACAGGATGTGACGGAGCAGACCCAGCATGGAGAGCTGAGGGGCACCCTCGATGGAAGCTGGAGGGGGTGGGGGGCCAGGTCAGGCCAAAGGTCCCCCTCTCCCTTCCCCCTCCTACTCCCCAGGGTTGGACCAGGTGGCCATTGCAGCAGGAAGGAGGAGGGTCAGACTAACAGTGGGACATACCGCTCAGAGTCAGGACTTCTACTGGCCTTGGAACGGGCTGTCCACCTTTTCACTTCAATCTGGACAACCCAAGTTTGGGGACGATTCAAACCAGAGCAGGTACGCGTGTGTGTGGTTGGATAGGGCACAGAAGTGTCCTCTTCCTGAAACTGGTCTCCCACTCTCTTCTCCCAGCTAGCTTTTACTCATCCTTGTCATCCTTGCAACCTCCATTCCAAAGCCAGATCATCAGGGAAGCCCTCCTGGGCACCCCAGTCTAAGTCAGGCTCCTTCTCCCCTTTATTCAGCCCTAAATCCATGTTCAATTGTGGAAAGATTTATTCAGCATCTTTCTTCCTGACCAGTCTGTGAGGTCTTTGAGGATGAGGGACCATATCTGTCTTATGTACTGATAACCCTCCAGAGAAATTCACAGAACACAAACGCTAAATTTCAGAGGAAATTCCCGAAATAGATTCAGGGATAGTAGAGGGGAGGCTGGGAAAGAACCCATAAAAGAAAGATACAGATATACACAATAAAACAATAACCAGCCTGGCCCGTCCCTCCTTAACTTGGTTCCTTGCCTTCCTCTCACTATAACCCATTCTTGCAAATTAGATATCAAGTTACCAGCCCGGAAATGCTGAAGTCTACCAAGCGGCCTCCAGGCTAGGGCACTCTTCCACCACTCTCTGCATCTGTTATCCCAGTCAGGATTAAGGGCTCCCATTCCAATGTCACAAATGGGTACACCGAGTCCCAGAGAAAGGTTGGGATAAGTCAACGCCATCCAAATCCAGGAGGATTCCAGCTGGGTTTCTACCTACCCAGGAGGAGGAGCTGGGGGAGAGGAGGTGGGACCCAAGTTGTGAGACCTTCCCTGCCCCATCCTCCCGCCCAGGCCTCACCTTGGGCCTGCATACGGGTCCGAACCAGGGCCAGGGGGTAACTGGCTATCTGGCCACAGGTGCTGGAGATGGTGCCGCAGGCCAGGAGCACGAGGATGCCTGGGTCTGCTGAGTCATGGCTATACTGCTGGAGCCATCGGTTCTTCAGGGTCTGGCAGGGGTAAAGAGGGGAATGGGGTGGGTTGGAGGTGAGTGACACCAGGACCCTGGCTTCAGAGACCTTGCTGGCTGGTTTCTGTATCCCATGATGGCTGACATTAGCTGAGTACTTTGTACCCCTAGGTGCCACACAAGCATTTTACCTGCACCTTCTCACTGAGTCCCTACCTCAACTTTCTATGATACATGGAATGACACCCCCCTGCCCCCTCTCCCCACAACTGTCCATGCCCTAATCCCTGGAACCTGTGAATAGGGAACATTATGTGGCAAAAGGGACTTTGCAGATGGGATTAAATTAAGGACCTTGAGAGGAGAGATGATCCTAGAATATCCAGGTTAGTTCAATGTCATCACAAGGCTACTTATAAGAGTTAAAGAAGATGTGATAATGGGAGAGATGAGAGAGAGAGGGAGAGGGAGAGGGAGAGGCAGTATTTGACAAATAAGTATTTAATGAGTTTTTAAAAACTGTTCTGTTGAAAAACAGGTTCTGATGACTGGATAAGAGCAGCCAACACTGAGCTAAAAAAAAATTGTTCCTTTTCTGCAGGACTTCTCAGAGTCTTTAATGGACTACCATAGATTTTGAAACTATGGGGTGTGATCAAACAATAGAGTGAATGCTTAACTTGAAAAAAAAAATTATTGGGCCGGCCGAGTGGCGCGTTGGTTAAGAACTGGCTTGGGATGCCAGAGGGTCCCAGTTCGGATCCCACATATGAGGGCCAGTGACGCTGCCCTCTACAGCTAAGATGCTGAACAACAGCTCAACCTGGAGCTGGGCTGCCGTGGGTTGCCGGCGACGGCGTAGGCTGCAGTCCCCTGCTGCAGTGGGCTGCCATGGGCTACCATGTGTAGCCGGCAGCCAGCGTGAGCGGCCAGCAGCCGCCGTGAGCGGCCGTCCAGAGGCCGGTGACTGATCTGCTTCGCCCGGGAAGAGCGCAATGATGGTGCCAGCTTGGGCCAGCAACGTCCTCCACAACTAGACTGAAGAACAAACCAACAGCAACTTGTCTGTTCCCCTTCCCCCACTTCCCCAGCACTGTTCCCCTTCCCCAATTCCCCAATAAAATCTTTAAAAAAAAATTATTACAGTAAAAGACACATTGCCATTAATCCCCTCAAAATACTCCCCCCTCGATTGGAACAAACTTATGACATTATTCTTGCCACTTTCGGAGGCAGTTCTGGAAGTCATCTTTCATGAGTGTCTTTAGTTGTGCTGTCATGGCTGCCTCCATGTCCTGAATCATTTTGACTTTGGGGAAGAGCCAGAAGTTGCACGGTGCCAGATCTGATGAATAAGGTGGATAAGGACACACTGTAATGTTTTGTGTGTTTTTTTAAAGATTTTTTATTGGGGAATTGGGGGGATGGGAACAGCGCTGGGGAATTGGGGAAAGGGGAACAGACAAATTGCTGTCCTTTTGTTCTTCTGTCTAGTTGTGGAGGGCGTTGCTTCACAGGCCCAAGTTGGCACCATCATTGCGCTCTTCCCGGGCGAGGCAGATCAGTCGCCGGCTTCTGGATGGCAGCTCATGGCGTCTGTTGGCTGCTCATGCTGGCTGCTGGCTACACACAGTAGCCCATGTCAACCCACTGCAGCAGGGTCAGTGGCGACTCACGGCAGCCCAGCTCCAGGTTGAGCTGTTGTTCAGCATCTTAGCTGTAGAGGGCAGTGTCACAGGCCCTCATATGTGGGATCCGAACTGGGGTCCTCTGGTGTCCCAAGCCAGCTCTTAATCCTTGCATCACTCGGCCGGCCCTGTAATGTTTTTATTTGACAGAAATTGTCGTACCAGAAGAGATGTGTGACATGGAGTCTTTCCATTGTGATAAAAAAAATACAGTAAATGCTGCTGCCAAGTGCCATCCAATGGAAAGGCAGGGATCTTCAATATGGGAAGCAGCACGCTGAACCTTAGTAGCAGTGTGTGACAAGTTTCAACTTGTTAGGTGCAGTCAGTCAGGTGTGAGCTACAGTTGAGAGAAGGTGTGTTTTAAACTGTGCCATAAATCATCCTCCATTATGACAATGCTCTGCGTCACACATCGCTTCTGGTATGCAACAATTTCTGTCAAGTAAAAACATCACAGTGTGTCCTCATCCACCTTATTCACCAGATCTGGCACCGTGCAACTTCTGGCTCTTCCCCAAAGTCAAAATGATTCAGGACATTGAGGCAGCCATGACAGCACAACTAAAGAAACTCACAAAAGAGGACTTCCAGAACTGCTTCAGAAAGTAGCAAGAATGATGGGAAAAGTGTGTTCGAGGAAAAGGGGAGTATTTTGAGGGGATTAATGGCAATGTGTCTTTTACTGTAATCATTTTTTTTTTAACTTAAACATTCACCATATTGTTTGATCACACCTCATATAAAAGGGCAAAAGGTTTCTCAAACTACTTTGACCTCCAAACTCTCTTTTTTGGTAAAGAATGGATGAAATAAGTTTGTGTCTTACTTCTACTCATAATCCTCAGTGGCTTCCTGTTACACTAGGAATAAACCCAAACTCTTCCTCATTGAGTCCTTGCTGTCTCTTCAGTTCCCTCCAGCTACTCAAGACTTCCCTCCATCAACAGGCCAAACTCTTTCCTGCTTTCGGACCTTGGCATTCACTGTACCATCTGCCTTGTTCACACTCCTTCCCGAAACATGTTTAACTCATCACTGCACCAAGGTCACATCTCAGAGTCATTCCTAGACCCACTTTCCTGTCCACTATTACTTTTTTTTTTTAGTTTTTTTTTTTAGCTGAGCCATCCTACCACCTGTTGGCAGCTCAGCGGCAGCTCAGCTCAGGCCGGGCATCGAACTGCTGTTGCTCAGAGCTCACACTCTTGAGCGAGCTCTTAACCAACTGAGCCACTCGGCCGGCCCTCCACTATTACTTTTGATTACATATCCAGTTTTATTACCTTCTGAGAACATATCAGGATCTGAAAGTACTTGTTTGTTGGTTGACTGACTTCCTTGTTCATTGATGTGATGCCCAGGAGGGCAAGGACTGTGTTGCTCTCATTTAATGTTACATCGACAGCAGTTAGCCCAGTGCCCAGCATATTCATATATGAATGCTTAAGCAACCGAGTGAATAAATGAATGAATGAATGAACAAGTGAATGAATTAATCAACAAACGAATGAATGAATTGATGGCCTGCTCTCATGTCTTATTTGGCTGCATAGATGTGAGATGCTGGGAGGGCTGGTATGGATGCAGGTACTGAGGATCTTAGATCAGGACCAGCTACGTAATTTGCAGGGCCCAGTGCAAAATAAAAATGTGTGCGGTCCCTCATTCAATGATTATTAGGAATTTCAGGATGGCAACAGCAGGGCTTTAAGCCAAGTGAGGGGCCCTTCTGAGTGCAGAGCCCTTGGCAAGTACACAGATCGTCCGTCCATAAAGCTGGCCCTGTCCTAGATACAAAGATTTTAGGGGATGCCTGGGGACATGTGGGGCTGTGCAACTGGGACAACCTGGTAATCTCAGCAGGAGTTGGTAAAAGCAATGGACGAAGCTCCTAGAAGAGAAACACCAATAATTCCCTGTTCTTCCCTTTTCTGATAAAGGCCCCAAGATGCTGGTCACAGGGTGACACAGATGCTGAAATGGACAGGCCCTGAAGAAGACATTGGCTTGGAGATACAGGCCAGGCATGATACATGCTTTGGACAAAATGGGCATCTTTGAAGCTCATCTTCACCTGCTCTCAGATTCTGTGAGCCAGAACGGGCCCTGACTTCCATGTATCCTGAGACCCAAGAAGGCCAAACTGCAGTGGTAAGTGGAAGAGTGGAGATGTCTAACACCTGAAGGGTTCCCCAGGGTCCCTAGGCCCATGGTGCTTCTCCAGCCCAGGATTTTCTGCCTTAGCCATGGAGGTCAACTGAGTCAGCCCCACAGGGAGGGGGTGGCCCGTCAGTAGATCCCAGAGAGAAGAAGAAAGGAGAGAGGGACAGGCTGCCCACAGACCTCATACACGGCCAGGTCGATGCCCGCGTAGGGGATGATGCCCAACACGTTGGGCAGGTATCCACGGTAGAAGGCGCGGGGCCCTTCTCGCTCCAGGATCTGCCATGCGCAGTCCAACAGCCCTTTGTACTGGCCCGTCCGGCGAAGGGTCAATCGCGTCTTCAGTACCTGGGGAGAAGCCGGTTATCCCTCGAAAGCTGACTCCAGAATCACTACATCCAGGAAGGAAGACACCTACAAATAGCTACTCCTGGAAGGCGATACCCTGAGAATAATTGAATTAAAAAAAAAACCCAAAATATAAATACTTCCTGTACCTAGAATCTTCTGCTATCCTTAATCTCTATGCTTAGAAATGGTTACGCCCCTCAGAGTTGCATGTGGCAGCCACTGCTGCCTCCCAATATCTTGGTACCTTCTCCCTTAATAATAGAAACTGTAATTTTTGGCAATTATGCAGCATCTAGAAATAAAGAGTACATTTCTCAGCTTCCCTAGGTGTGAGGCCATGTGATTAAGTCCTAGCCAATGAAACAGAAGAAGAGGTATGTGTGACTTTCAAAAAGCGTCCTTAAAGGCAAGGAGGTGTTATTTCCTTAGTCTCTTCTTTCTTCTTGGCTGGAATGTAGATATGATAACCAGACTACAAGCCATTTTGGTCCACGAGGTGGCTGCTATATGCTGAGGTGGTAGAACAAGACAGTAGGAAGGGACCTTGGTCTCTATCACTTTGAAGGCATATACCAGCCCTGAACTGCTCACCTCCAGACTATACTTATGTGATTTGAGTTTTCCATCACTCAGAATCCTAATGCACTATACAACCTGAAATGATTTCTCTGAAAACAGTTTAACCTAGAAATGATTCCCCTAGGAACAAGCATCCTGGAAATCAGCATCCTTAGAAGAGGCAATATCCACAAACAGCTGGCCCCCAAATGGCTGTCTAAACAGTTATAACCAATACCACTGTCCCCAGAAGTCACATCTCAAATCGTGATATCCACAATCAGACTACGCATGGAACAGTATTGCTGTAATGAACTACAGTCTGAATCAGGGAGAGGCAAAGTTATAATCTCAATGCTTATCATACCATGGACTGAAATGGTTATTGCAGGCTTCCCATCCTGCAACGGAGCCTCTGCTGGGGTCCCTCCTCACCTCCATGGGGTAAATGATAGTCTGGGCTGTGGCACCAGCCAAGGATCCAGCCACAAATCGCTCCTGCACGTGCAATGTCTCCTGCTGCCCCCGGATGGCCCGCTTGATCTGAGGATGGGACATACAGTGGTGGGCAGGACCTCAGGTTTTGAGCCTTCCATGCACTTGGACCTCCCCTCTACTGTCCTCCTGCTGTGGGCATCATGCAGGATAGCAGATGCACACTTCTGGGGACCTGTAGACATTCCTCACCCGCAAGCCAATCCTGCAAATCCTAGGCCACACCTCCCCACGCCTGCCCCCACCTGCTCATAAGCCATGAATTTGATAGCCGACTCAGGTGCAATCTTGAGCACATTGATCCCGTTGCCACGCCACAGGGAGCGCACACCCCCCTCTTGGATCATGCTCCATAGGCCTCCCAGGATGTTCAGCCTGTTGGTCTTGGAGGCGTGGACCTGAGCGGGGAGACAAGGTGACTTTGGGGTGCCCTCCAGGGGCCTAGGTCTGGGGGAGGGGGTGGGTCTCTCCAGGGCCCCTCACCTGCATGAAGACCTTGAGGCGGTCCAGAGGAGCTGTGCCTGTCCTCGACAATGCACCCGCCACTGCACCAGCCACCAGCTGCTTCCACCACATGCCGGTCAGCTTCTCCTGCTCCGAGAACTCATCAGGGACAGTCAGGCACTCGCCAATGTCTAGGACCTGAGGATGCAGGGGCTGGAGTGTCATGCCACGGTGGGGGTAGAGAGATGTAACTCAGCTCTAAATGGGGGTGTCTCCCAGGACACCCAGATAGTCCACCAGTGAATCTTGCTTGGAGAGCCCAGGAGATCCCTCTTGGATCCCTACCGATCCCACCAAAACATCCAAGCCATTGGTCTCCCACATAAGATCCTAACATCCCTCCTTGGGGACCTGTATCAAATCCTGTTGAAGGATTTGCCACATAAAGACCCCTCCAGAGCCAATCAGATCCCTATGAAGGATCCCACTCAAGAGTCTCCTACATAAGGATCCCAAAAGATCCTTCCAGGGCCACACAAGATCCTACCAGGGACCTCCCATATAAGAAGCCCAGCAGATCCCTCCCGGGGCCTCAAATGGAGGAAAAAAGGAGCAGAGTCTCATTCCTTGGGTGCTCCCAGTGGCTCCTCCTTCTACAGCATCCTGACCCAGCCCCTTCATGCCCTGGAGAGAACAGAACTAGGTCCCCACGGCAGGGGGAAGAGGGACTCGCTACCAGGCTGGGAAAGCTACCCCCACCTCACCGTGGAATGCTTCCAGAAATAGAGTACGTCTTCCACGTTCTCCAGAGAATGCAACAGGAAGTGGTCACGCCATTCCTGCCAGTCAATGGTCATGGTGCCATCACGGTCCATGCTGGAGGGTGGGACAGAATCAGTGCCTCAGGCTGAGGGTGGGTTAGAGTGCGGTTCTGGTCGGATCTCGGGGTAGACCAACCTCCTCTGCACTGAGAGCTCACCATTTTATAGTGAGCTCACCATTTAAATTGAGGCTCAGAGAGCTGAAATGACTGACCCAAGATAAACCTGACTCCAAAGCTCAGCTTCTCAGCTTCACCCACCATGAGGCGGTCTGGGACTCAGAGACTTGAGGTGGCTGAAGGGTCCCAAGGACCAGAGTTACTTGAGATTCTGGGACCCAACTTCTCACCTGTGTAGAATTTTCTCTGCCTGCTCCAGGGAGATGGAAATGCCCAGAGCTCGGAAACTCTGCTGGATCTCAGAGGCATCGATATGACCTGGAAGGGGACCCAAGATAGGGAATGGTGTGTGTGGGAATGGTGTGGGAACCCTGAGACCGAGGAGCAGGACAGCTTGGAATGGGAGTGGTCTAGCAAGACCAGGGGGTCCAGAAACCCAGGATGAGGTTTGCAGCAGTATTGGGGGTAGTTCCCGACCAACTATAATCAGAGAAGCGGGACTGGGCAATGTTGGGGGTCCTCTGTTTCATGAATGAAAGTGTGAATGCAGGGGTAATCATGGGGCTCCCTATGTCATAGGGGATCAAGAGGTGATATTGGAGACCTAGAAGATGCTGGGGGGAGGAGGGGTCTCTGTCCCATAGGGAATCCAGGAGCAATAGGGAGGAATCTTTATCCTTTAAAAAAATCTAAGGGTAATAACAAGGGTCCCACCCCAAAAGGGAAAGGAGGTAGGATGGGCTGGCTGGGCCCTGAACCACCTAGCTGGGGGTGATGAGAGTTCCCAAAAATAGCCTGTGAGTCATCAGGGAGAAGCGGCCTCACCCCTCCTGGCATCATCAGTTTTAACCCCATTGGCGTCTCTAGGGCCCCCACAGCTCCCTCCTGGGGCCTTACCATCCTGATTCCTGTCCAGACTGTGGAATAGAAGGAGCAGGCGCTGTTCCCGCTCCTGCAAGTACTGGGTAAACTCTTCCAGGTCCAGCCCACCATCTAGGTCAGCACCACCCTCTGGGGAGAGGCCCTGTCAAGGGGAAAGGGACAGAGGGAGCTCCAGGGGGCTGCTCCCCATCTGGAGGGGGCACAACAAGCTTATGCCCCAGGAACCCAGGGCCCCAGAGCATAGAGGACAGAGACAGGGGAAGTCACCCCCTCCCTGCATCAGCTCGCTTCTCAGAAAGATGTCCAAGGCCACAGTAGGGCTGTGAGGTGGATAGCGATAGTCCAATTTTCCTGGAGAGCAAACTGAGGCTCTTCAAGGTCAAGTAACCCGTTCAAGGTTACAGAGCTGGGAAGTGGGAGGTAGCCTTTCTTGTCTCTGAAAGCCTGTCCTCCCAGCTGTCTCTTATAAAAACCTGCTTCATGGCAGTTTCAGTAGCTCCCCTTAGACTCTTGCAGCAGTTCTCAACCTGTGGATCGCGACCCCTTTGGGGGTCGAACGACCCTTTCACAGGGGTCGCCTAAGACCATCGGAAAACAAAAAGATATTTACATTATGATTCATAACAGTAGCAAAGTTACAGTTATAGAGTAGCAACGAAAATAATTTTATGGTTGGGGGTCACCACAACATGAGGAACTGTATTAAGGGGTCGCGGCATTAGGAAGGTTGAGAATTGCTGCCTTAGAGACACGTCTGGGCAACCGGAGGCAATGACAGATCCAAGCTGAGCAGCCATGGGGCCTCCATTTTGTCACCTGGAAAGTGGGACATTGGACTGGAGATGTCAGGATGCTGTGGAGGCACTCCAGTGGCCTCTGGGGCTACAGGTGTGGGGGATATCTGTGTGTGTGTGTGTGTGTGTGTGTGTGTGTGTGTGCGCGCGCGCGCGCGCGCGCACGCGTGCGATTTCCTGCTTTGATAGGTTCATCCCCAGCTGAGGATGGCCTCAGACAGGATTAGGTCCCTGGCTGAGACAGCCTGGGGCATTGAGCCAAGCCCAGGAAAGGGCAGGAATGTAAACACAGAGGTTGGGGCAGCTGGCTGGAAGGGCAGTGGGGTGCCCAGAGAATGGGGGAAGGGTGTGTCTTCTGGAGGTGAAAGCAGGGTATGTCTTGGGCTGTACAGAGAGTTCCCAGGAGGGTGTATCCAGGGCAGTGGGCAGGATAGGACCAGACTCCGTTCTCAGGCAGACATCCCTTAAGCCCGGGGTATGAGGAGGGTGGGGACTGCAGTCGAACTGCAGGCCCGGGGCCGCCGTGGCCCTGTCTTGAGAGAACCTGTTGGGTGGGCAGAAGCAAGGGGACAGAGCCGCCCAGGCTGGGCACAGGTGCTGGAGTCCAGCCACAGGCAGTTTCTGGCGGCTCCCGGCCTTCCATTCAGGGACTCGGGTTACCGGGCGCGGGCAGGGCCCGAGCGCGGCTCGCCAGGCTGGAGTCCTGGCGGGGGTACCTGTTGGGCGCCGCGGTCCAGGTCGCCCCCTCCCAGCCGGGCCAGTCCCTGGCGCAACTCGTGCACGTCCACGCGGCCATCCTTGTTACTGTCCAGCTCCTCGAAGAGGCGACCCCATCGCTGCCGCCGCTCCGCTTCGCCCGGACCCCCCCGCATGGCGCCCGCCCAGGGGGGAGGGGAGGCAGCAGCGGCCTCAGCGGGGGCTTTGCGTCTCCCCCTCCCCCCCGGGGTCCCGCAGGGCCAGCTCCGCGGCTAATGCCACTGCAGCCTCCGCGCTGCGGGACAAGCTCTGGCACTTGCAGGAGGCGGTGACTGCTAGCCGTTGCCGCCCGCGCCAGAACTTGCGTCTCCTCCCCCGGCCCTCTGAAGGGAGGGCGCTGGGGGCGGAGCTGGGGTGTGGGGAGGGGTGTCAGGGATGCTCGGGTATGGCACAGCCTAGGGTGCACCAAGGTTCATTCTGGGAAGAGAGTCCAGAGAGATTAATGGTCTCAGTTCTGGTTTCAGTGTTCCGCCTCTGCGTGCCTCAGTTTACCCTCTGCCCAAGGGGGCGAATAGGGATATGTCAGGGATTGGGTTTCGTAATCCCTTTCCACTTGACCACTCCCTCCCCTACTAATCTTCAGCAACTAAAGTTCTCGTTTTTCCCGGAGATATTCAAGAACCAACCTAACGCCATCTAGCCCTCCATCTGTCCGCCAGCTCATTTCACATTTTCCCCTCCGCCACAGAAACAGAAGAGCACGACGCAGTTCTCCCTCAGTCCCTACGTCCCGCCCGCGCGTCTCTTTTCTCGGCCCCACCCAGACTGGGAAACGGAAGATCAACGCGCGGCACGGTTGCAAAGTCGGTTTCCTATTGGCCAGAACCGCCTGAGAGGCGCCCGCCCCTCCCGCCTCGCCCATTCACCTGGGTGGGGCCTCTCGCTGGCCCTGTGCAGCCTCGGGCCCCGCAGCCCTGGGCTTGCCTGGCAGTCTTAAAGGGGCTGCGGCCGCATCCAGACTCTGGGCTGACTGCTCTTTCCAGATCGGCCTTTGCGGGGGGGGGGGGGGGGGGGGCGTGTCAAAGTGTCACAGGCGCGGCTGGAGACAAGGACCGGGTAATCAAGTGCAGGAGGCGGGGCCCCAGCTTGTCGCGCTCGTTGCACCTGCTGAATGCCCCTCCCACTAGTTTCGGGCGCAGTTTCTTGATTCACCATTAGGGGGAGGAACGCCCAGACCACTAGACGGCAAATGATAACAATAGCTATTAAGGATTCAGTTGTTGAACAAGCCAGGCCTTTTACTGGCCTCTCCCATCATTCTCACCAAAACCCTATAAGGTAGGTGGGACTGGCTTTCCCACTTCACGGATGAAGAAACAGGATTTTAAGGCGCTCTCCCCAGTCCACGTGCTCAGTAAGGGGCAAAGCAGGAATTTAACCAGACCTGGGATTCTTACCCAGTACTCTATACCCTAAAAGGGATTAATTTCTCCTTAACTATCACTTTCACCCTAGAGTCCCCAGGATGGAGGTCATCTTATTATCGTCGTCCTTTATCCAAAGATACAGACAGCCTTGAGGGCACACTTGGTTCCCACTCAGCTTCTGCCCACACAGATGTGCTCAAACAGATGTGTCCCAGACAAACGTGCCTCTTATAGAGGATCCCCTCACAGATGTTTTCATTTGCCGGTGGTCCTTGCAGGTGCCCTCCAGCATGGGGGATACAGATGTTTTCCCATGGAGATTCCCCAAACAGGTGTTTTCTCATAGATGCATCCCTGACGAGTGGGCCTCTATACACATGAGCCTACTGTTTTGCAGCCCAGCCACCCCAGATGTCAATGTAAATGTATTTCATACAGATGTTCTGTCTTTCTCTCATTTGAGCTCAATTCTATGCAGATGGTCCTCATACAAGACTATTTCCTTCGCCTCACAGGTATGCTTCTCAACAGAAATCCACCCAGGAATGCATTACATAGCGTTCCCTCACCCCACAGGCGTGTCCCAGTTAAATACACACCCATACGGGTCTATGTCCATATAACTGGGTCTCATACAGGTGTACTTAAATGTAGATGTGTCTCATACAGGTATTGCCAATACACTTCCACACAGGAATTCCTCATACAAGACTTGTTCATTTCATAGGTGGTGGATGCAAATACGTCTTCAAGACCCTACACCAGAGTGCCTCAGTCACGTGTTTGTTATAACGCAAGTGTGTTCTATACAGCTGTTTTCCACACAGGTAAGCTTCCATTCGGCTATACTCCAAATATATGTGATTCAATGTAAATGTCTTCCACATGTGTGCTTCTTGCACATCCGTGCAGATGTCTTCTTTACAGGTTTGCTCCCGTGCAGGTATGTACCACACAGGTATTTTTTCATTAGGGACTCCCTATCTGAGTCTGCCCCAGATAGGAGTGCCTGATACCCGGGTGTCTCTATAAACCGTGTGTCTCCACACCTGTGCCATCCTACAGATGTCCCCGCAATACAGTTGGGAAGTTCCTTTTACACCTGCGCGCTTCCGCCCCTTTTTACTCCTTCCCATTATAGGATTGGGTTCCCGTTACAGGTGCGCCGGGAGAGAGGGAGGAGGGCAGGGCGGCCCCGCCTCCTGCCTGGCCCCGCCCTCTCATCTAGGCTCAGGTGCATAAGCCGGAAGTGCGCTCCTCTCCCAGGTGAGTGACTAAACTTTCCGGGTCACGTGAGCGGGAGGAGCTGGTGGATTCCGACCGAGAGACCGAGGGACGCACCGAGGGTTCGAACGAGGGAATCGGACGGGGAACCTGAGCGAGATCGAAGACGCGCGGGCCAGGTAGGGAGGCAAGTCGGCGCTGGTTGGCCTGCTGACCCCTTTTCCCTTCCCCTTCGGTTTCCCGAGCCCAGGAACGTACCTCCTCGAGTTAATTTTTAATCTCTGACCTCTGGCGCCGGGGCGGGGCGGGACTCCAGGGTGCCCTGGCGCGGGTCGCCCCTCCCCTGGGCCTGCGCCCGGGTCCAGCTCGCTCCCCCACCCCCTGGCCTTTCTCCTCCTGCCCTCAGGTGCCAGGTCGCAGGTACCCCCGGCCCGAGATGCGGTAGGAACGGCGCCCGCGAAAAGTCCGGTACTTGGTGCCACCAGCCTGTCGCCCGACCCATGGCGAGCCCCAGCCTGGGGCTGCTCCTAGCGCTCGGCCTGCCGCTGCTGCAGGCCCGCTGGGGCCGGGCCTGGGGGCAAAGTAGGTACCGGCGGGGGTGCTGGGGACCTGGGACACTGAGAGGTCAAGAACTGGGGAGCAGGCATGGAGTGCCTTGGGGGCAGGAGTCTGCAAGGTCAGGGCTGGGGATTTGGAATTCCTAAGTCCTTCCTTGGTTAGTCGGAGTTGGTCTAGCATTCCTGAGTTCTTCATTGGGGCAGAATTATGAGCTGGGGGGAGAGGAAGCCTGCATGTCCCAGTCAGCGTGGTTGAGGCAGGCTGGGAGCGAGGACAAGGCCTGCGTGGGGCTCTGAGCGCAGTTTGACCACCATGCTGGCCATAGGTGTGGACCCAGACATTCAGTCCTCTTCCAGTTTCAAGAGCCTGGGGGGTGGTATGAGTCGGATACTCTAAGGATTAAAGGCAGGATCTGGCCGGATCCTTAAAGGCCGAGGGAGGGCCAGGGAAGTGGGGGAGGGGAGGGGAGGGTTGGACTTCAGGACACCGTCCATTATCAGAGCCCCCAACTCAGTGCAAACTGCAGACTACTGTGGGCTGATGACTCATAGCTGGGCTCCACACTGCTGAGCAAATACAGCTAAGCCAACCCCTTGGTGCAAAGCAACCATCTCTGTGAGAATGGAAGACGCAGAAGAGTGGAGTTCTGGGGGAGGGGGAGATTGCCCAAGGAAGGTGCAGATGTGCCAAGATGGGACTTCATTTATCCTCTCTGCCCACCTCCCTACAGCATTGATACCCACTGCATATGAGAACAGCACCATTACCCCTGGCCCCAGCTCCAATGGAGCCCTGGTGAGTTGGGGTTATATGTGGGAGGCGGGCAGCCAGGATGTTATTCAGGAGTCCACATGTAGTGTGTGGAGGGGCCTTAGATCCCCAGAGGTGACAGGTCAGGGTGTGTGGGGGGGTGGCATTGGAGAACTCTAAGTGGGAGAGACCAGAATACCAACATGGCAATTGGGGAGACCCAGGGCCCCAACATAGGGAGAGCCAGAACCACAGGAAGGGGATGGATGGTGGTGAGTGTTAGGGGGCAGGAGCCCCACAGGCCTCTCAGGAGGAGGGAGGGGGAGCTAGGAGCCCAGATGTGGTTGGTGTTTGTGAGGGGGACCCCAGATGTAGCAGGTGGACTGGGAGCTCCAGATGTGCTAGATAGGGATCAGGATGGAGGGATCAGATCACCAAAAGTGGCAGGTGTGGAGTTGGGGTATTAGGAACCCTGGATACTTCATAGATAGGGGGTGGCCAGGATTCCCAGATTCAAGGAAGTCACACCTATCCCTTCTCTCGCAGTCTAAGGAGGCCATCACTGCCATCATTGTGGTCTTCTCCCTCTTGGCCGCCCTGCTCCTGGCTGTGGGGCTTGTGCTGCTGGTGCGGAAACTGCGGGAGAAGCGGCAGACAGAAGGCACCTACCGGCCCAGCAGTGAGGAGCAGGTGGGTGCCCGTGCGCCACCACCCCCCAACCTCAAGCTGCCGCCCGAGGAGCGGCTCATCTGAATGCTGGGGTCCGCCACAGCCACCACCACTGTCCAGAACTGCCCAGCGCTCGCTCCCACACAGCAGCTGCCAGCAAGACACCAGCCTCTGATGGCTCAGAAGGACTTGGGGGGCCACAGGGCACCTGCTGGGCTGGCTCCGCGCGAAGCATGTCGCCTCTGCGCGAAGCATGTCGCCTCTGCTTGAGTCTGCCTGCAGTTGGGGGTGCCGGGGCTGGGGACCTGCCTCCCTGCTTGCTGAACCGTCTCCACACAGGCCCAACAACTCCCCTCTCCTTTCCTTTCAGTTCTCCCACGCAGCCGAGGCCCGGGCTCCCCAGGACTCCAAGGAGACAGTGCAGGGCTGCCTGCCCATCTAGTTCCCCTTCCTCTATTCCAAATCTCTCCCTGGCTGTGTGACTTTGGGAAAAGGCAGATCCCTCTCTGGGCCATCAAACCACTCAGCTCCGTACTTAAGAATAGAAGGGACAAAGGTGCTTCAGAAACTGCCCCTGAGGGCAAGGAAGGGTGGGGCTGCTCACTATATATATATATATATATATATATATATATGTATATGTAAAATTGGTAATGACACATAATAAAACCTTTTTTTGAGCTGGTGGGGGCAAGAATTAGACTAGGTGGAGGAGACAAATGAGGAGTTCTTAGGCTGTGGAGGGATGAATTATAAGCTTGGGAGAATCCTAGGGGCTAGGAGGGCTTCCTGGAAGGGAGGGCTTTTTGCTGCACCTAGAAGCCAGCTGGAGGCTGTCCCAGTAGAGAAGGTGATGGATGGGATGGGTTTCTGAGCAGAAAGAGGGACTGCAGGTAAACTCACCAGGAAAAACTGGCTTTGGGTTCTTGTGGCTTTACTGAGGGATTGGCGTCTCCTCCAGACACCTGATCCTTAACCTTCAAAACACTTTTTAAGCTCAGCGACTCTGGGCCGGCTCCTGGCCTGGGGCTCCTGCTGGTTGCTAGCAGGTGCAGCAGGGGGTCTGGGGGCCCCCAGCCTCTTGGGGGGCTGGAGGTGAGCATGCTCTGCTAGCAGGGCCTCAGAAGGCTGAGCTCTGGGGTTCTTTGGGGGACCAGGATCTGAGAAAGAGTCAAGGGGTTGGGATGTCCAGGTGATATCCGAGTTAGGCTTTGTGGGGACCTGAAGTTGACCTTCTGGAGGGCTGGGCTGGGTGGGTGCTGTAGAGAGCTGGGAGCAGGGGCTCTCCTGGGCCCTGGAATCTCCAGTTGCTTCTTGAGGAGGGGAGAGATGTTGGATTCGATGATAGGGCTCTGTGAGAGAGGATTCAGGGGCCCCTTGGTAGCTTGGGTCTGTAGCTGTTGAAGACTGGGATGGAGAAGTGATTTCTTGGCTGGCCTCTGAGTGTGGCTGGGGAGGGAGGTTCGCTGAGGAGCTCTTGGTATCCGAAGGCTGGAGGGTTAGCAGACATGGCAAGCTGGCAGGCAGCAACTGGGGCTGGGCCTCTGGGGGGTCCTCCTCATCTGGCTGCCATACTGGTCTTCCTGGTATGTTGGGCTGGGTGGGGGTGGGGAGATAAGCAAGTTGCTGGACCTTAGACGGGGGATGGGCTGGCAAGTAATGGACAAGTCGGGGAGGACTGGGGGCTCACCAGGCTGAGGCAGCTGTCGAGGTCCCCTCTGTGGCAGCAGTCTAAGCTCTGGCTGGGCCGCAGGCTGCCTGTCTTTGTGTCTCCTGTGCTCAGACTGTCCAGAATCTCACTCAGCAAATCCAGTTCTTCCCCAGACCCCAGGAAGCTGCTGTCCAGAGCTTCTTCTGCCCATGAATCCTGGGCATCCTCAGGGCTCACAGGGGTTGTCCTGAGAGGATGGGTAGCCTCAGATATCTGCCCAAGGCCCCCAGCCCCAGTCCAGTGGCTCTGGCAGGTTTGGAATTTGGGGACCATCTTCCCCATCAGTCTTGGTCTCCCACTTCCAACATTGCCCCCTCCCCCTGCCTTTGAGCCTTACCCTTCCCCCAGGGACTCAGAAGGTCTTTCTTCCTGTCGGAGTCTCCTGCTGGGGCGAAGGGGCCGGCTCTGCAAAGGACAGATTTGGGGGGTGGGCCTCAGGAGCTATGAAGTCAGGGGGCTGTGTGAAGGAGGGTGAGTGTGAAGTGGACATCAGCTATTGGGGTACACGAGGAAGGAGGCAAGATGTCTAGATGGAGACTGAGGATGGGAGGAGGACTTGGTGATAATTCCAGGTGTGTGGGTCGGGGTGGGGGTGGGGAAGTCTTACTTGTCCAAAGTGCTGGGTAATAGGCAGGCGCTGCTGCAGGCAATCTGAGCGGCTGGTGAGGGATGGGGCCCTCAGGGAGCCTCCCCTCTGCAGGCCAGAGTCCCCATCCTAGGAAGAGGGGTAAACCAGGAGCCCTGGAAGAGTGTGGGTGAACCAGGAGCCCTGTTTCCCTACTCCCCTTTGGCCATTGACCATTAGCCTTACCTTGTACAGCAGAAGGCTCTGCACTCCCTTCAAGCCGCTCTTGGCCTATGGAGAGCCAGAAGAGAATTAAACTCAAGGTGATTTGATTCTGGGCATTTGAGAACTCAGCCCTCTGTCCCCTAGGACAGCTGTATCTTGCCCTCTATTTATGTTTGTATCTCACAAATATATTCAGTTTCCCACGCACCACCTAAGGAGTCAGTACAAGCTCTTGCCCCTTTGACTATACAAAAGGAATATTCCTGAGGGAAGTAACCTCCAAATGAAACAGGGTGGCAAAAATAGAACATCATAAAAATGTGTTCATGTTCAAAAGCCGAGTGGAGAATAAAATCGAATGGACAATTCAGAGCTGCAAAAGTTGGTCCCAGGAAACTTGGGCTTGGGAGAAAAAAACCCACAAGGGCAAAAGTGGGGTTTACAGTGTTTGAGAAGGACAAAAGAAAAAATGAATCTTGGTCATTAATTTTAAATCGGAAAACAATTATCCCAACAAAAATGAGTACGGTGAATAGAAAATAAAAGTGGGAAGAATTGTTAATGGTTTCACTGCTGGTTCAGTTTTGACAAAAATGTTTGCACTTTAAATGTGGGGTTAAAATACCCTGTCACCCCAGTGGCCTGTCTAGCCCAGCCTTACCGAGCGGTACATGTTTTTGACGGCTGGTTGAGTCTTGGCCTTGACCGAATGCAGGAGGGCACCACCACCTTTCTAGGGAGAGAATGCCAAGGAAGAGGTTTGGGCATCTGGGGTTACCCCAGACCCCACATCATCCCAGGGCTGTGTGATGTCGGACACATCCCTCTCCTCTGAGCCTCTATTTCTTCACCTGTATAAATGAGCAAAATGATGACCCTACCTAGGGACTGTGGTGGGATTAAATTAACCCAATAATAAACTGTAAACAAGTGTTTGGTTGTTAATACCTTTAGGTTGTCTGCCCAGAGCTGGTAGGAGCGAAGGGTGCCTAGAATGAGGAGGGAGTGTGGTCATGACAGGCAGGCTCAGGCTGGGGTGCTGCTGGTGGGGTGGGGACTTGGGGGCTAGGTGCAGAGCTCACCTGAGGAGTCCCCAATGCAGGTGATCTCCTGCTCAAAGAGATCTGAGAAGCCCTCTCCTGTGTTAAGCTTCTCCAGTCGGCAATCAATGAACTGGGGGAGGGAGGGTCAGAGTTAGACACATGGCTGCTATCAACACATGTGAATGCGAGGACTAGGAATCCTCAAGATGTAAAAGATGGCGACCCAGGAATTCTGAAGCTCACCTTAGGAAGCCTGAGGTCCAACACTCTACCCTCCCCCAGGTCAGGACCTTTCCTCAGGGACCAGATCCCGCCCCTCACAGGGACCCGTAAGTCAGACTCTGCCACTTCAGACCTCCCAGCTCCTCTCAGTGACCCTGGAAGAGGTCAACCCCACCTTCAGGGACCCTAGAACCCAGGCCTTCACTGAAGTACCCGGGAGTCCAGCCCACCTTCCTTCAGGAGCCTAGCAGTCTGGCTCACTTACACCCCTCCCCACGCCCCACTGGAGTCTCAGCCAGCTTCCTCCTCCCGCCAACGCGAGTGCCACTCAGGACACGCCCCTTCCATAAACCTGCACAGATTCACATCCCGGATCCAGGAATTTGGTCCCATCCATATCTCCCCCGAGACCTAGAAACTTAATCCTTAGGAACTCAGGTTGGGGGCTCCCATCTTTAGTAACCCAGGTTCAGTTCTGCTTTCCCAAACCGGGAACCCCGGGAAATCCTGCCAGGCGGACTCTATTCCGGCCCCGCCTGCCCCAGCCCCGCCCTCAGGGCTCTGGCGCACCTGTTTGAACAGCTGCAGGTGCACAGCCCGCCGGTGGAAGGCCTGCAGGGGCGACCCTGGCTTCTGGGCCAAGAAGGCTTCTTCACTGAAGGTCACAGGCTGGTCCTGGAAGAAGGACACGCGCGTCCTGAGCCCCCAGGCTCTGCTGGACTCCAGCTGCCTCCCTCACTATATCATATTATCTATGCAGCAAACGTTGACTGAGCGGCTGCTGTATGTCTGAACTTGTGCAGAGCCTTGTGGGCTGCTGGGAGGGCTCGGGCTTTTACCCCGAGGGAGGTGGAAGTCCTGGAGGGCTGTGGGCAGAGGCGGGATGGGACCTGACTCAGGTGCCACTTCTGGGAAGACAGACTATGGGAGGTGAGGGTGGGAGCCGGGGAGAGACCTGTCTGGGAGGCGAGTGTGCTGATCCAGGCAAGCAGTAATGGGAACTAGACAGAGGGTGGAGACAGAGGAAGCAATGGGAAGATTCCAGGTGTGTTGTAAAGGTGGAGCCCACAGGAACTTCGGATGCTCAAACGATAGAACCCTTTACTCAAGTGTTCATAGAATAGTTGAAAACTGAGGATGTGGGGAGTTGAAAGTCAGCAGATCAAAGTCCTAGTTTCAACACTCACCCACTGTGGGACTTCTCCAAGCCTCGGTTTCCTCATGTGAAATGGGACCATAATGGCATCTATCTCATAATACTGTCGTGAGCGTTAAAAGTAATAGTAATGGTAAAATCGAGCATTTGAGCACTCACTAGCCAAGCGTTTTGAATATGCCCTTTCATTGACTCACGCCATCCTTTTGGGTGGGTACTATCTGGATCCCATTTTACAGATGAGCAAACGGAGGCACAGAGTAAACATTCTACGATTGCTAGGTATCAATATTATTCTGAATCCTGCAGGGCTCACGGGGCCTCTCCCTCGGCGTCCCCGCAGCTCACCGGGCTGCAGACGAGCGCATCGCGGTAGCCCCCAAAGAGCAGAGCTTGGGCTTTGAGGAAGAGACGGGACACCCCTTCCCCGGGGGCTAGCGCGACCTTCCTTAAGCGCAGCCTCAGCAGGGACACCTAGAGGACAAGAAAGCAGTGCTGAGCAAGCGGGTATGGAGCTTCCGCCTCTTGGACACGGCAGGAGGGTGGGAGAGGGTGACACCGACCACGTCTGGGGGCAGCGCCTGCATGTCGTCAAAGGGCGTCTCTAAGATATTGGAGTCCACGTTCATCATCACTACGTCCTCTAGGCCTTTCTCCCGCACTGTCTGCGACGAGGGGAGAGAGGGAGGACCGCCGCTCAGAGTTCGAGGATCGCTGGCGGGGGAGGGTACTTGGGGATGCAGAGGGAAAGGGGATTCCGCCCGCCCTCGCAGTCCAATTCCGCTCTCACTCACCTCGGCGAGACTGGCGTGGACTCCGATGAGGTAGGGCATGGGGGCGCTGCAGACGACCGAAGGGGCAGAGTCATGCAGGCACCACCCCCGGGTCCCCAGGACTCCATACTTCTTCCCCAGGCCCTGCCCCTCCCCAGTCTCCGCCGCTCACCAGCAGTAGTCCAGCAGGTGTGGCGGCAGCGTGGGGATCAGCACGTGCTCCCAGCGCATGGGATACAGGAGAGCGCAGGAAGCGTGGACGCACGAGGTCAGCTGGGGACGGGTAGGGGGCCGTGGAGTCAGGGCCTGGACCCCGTTTCCAGAACCCTCTCTGGGACAGTGGCTCTCCCAGCTCCGTTTCCCACCCAACCCACCTTCCCACCAGCTACTGGGTAAGAGGTGAAAACTCAGACCCTTCAGGGATCAAGTGGATACCAAGATTTCGGTAAATTTCAGTGATTGGAGCAGGTGGAGCCAGGACGTAGCACGTCCCAGTCCCTCCCTCTAGGGGGCGGAGCTAATATGCAACCCTTCCGCATCCCAATTCCTTAGGGGTAGAAAGAAGTACGACTCAGCCTACTGGCTCCACTCAGAAAGAGGCGGAGCTAGTACTGAGCCCGTCCTAGTTCCGCCCCTAGGGGTGGAGTCACGACTCAGCGTCACTGACCACACCCCTAAAGAGGCGGGACTATAATTCAGTTCATTTGGTCCGGTCCCTAGAGGTGGAGCCAGTATTTAGCCCTCACCCCCTACCCTCCCCTCCTTTCCCCCTAGGGTCGGAGATAGGAGTTAGGGCTTCCTAATCTCAACCTCCAGAGGGGCGGAGCCAACCTTGTTATGGCCTATAGTAGGTGGAGTCTGGACTGGGCGCTCCCAATGAAGAGGAGCCACAGCGCAGCCCTGCAGGGCTCGAACTCCCCGCATAAGGGCGAAGCCAGGATTCAACTCAACCCTGACCTTGAAAGGGGCAGAGCCAGGGCTTTGCCCTCGGGTGTTGCCCGGTGGGCTCAGAGTAGGAATCAGCCCCGTCGTCCCGCCCCCAGGGGCGAAGCCAGGCCTCGGCCCCTCCCCGGCCCGGCTGGCCCCGCCTCACGGTGCTTAGCTTGCTGGCGGTGAGCAGAACCCTTCGCTCAGCTAGGAGAGCCGCGAACAGCCCCACGATATTCTCGTCGGTCACTGCCACCACCAACTCCGTTAGGTTTCTCTGAGAGACAGAGAAGAGCTCTAGGCGCGAGGGACCACAGGATCTGGCGGCTCCTGAGGGTTTCGGGACCTCCTCGCACCCCCAGAGTCCCCTCCCAGATGTCCACTCACGTTCTCAGGAATGGATGGCAAGCGGCTTGGGTCGGGGGCCACGAAGCAGGAAAGCTAGTGGGGAGAATTGGCAAGGGGACCGATCAATCAAGGGTAAGCCTCTCCTGAGTGCCCAACCTCCCAGGGCCCCCAGACCCGCTCACCGGCCTGCTGTTCCCGGGGGCAGGGGGCGGAATACCGTGCGCGCTGGAGATTGTCACTCCGCTGCCCTGGGGGAGAGGTATAGCTGTGTGGTCCTCAGGGCTGGGGCGCAGTCTCCCCATTCACCTGGGGTCGGACGTCCAGGGGTTAGGGACTACTCACCAGCTCCATTGAGGCCTGGGTCCCGGGCAGGGGATGCTGCAACAGATTTAGAAGAAGTTCCTCGACCTCCGAGACCTGGGTGGGGTTGGGGTATCTGAGCCAAAACGTGGGTTGGGGATTCTGAAGGCCTTGACTCAGGCTGGGTGGTCTGGGAGGAGCCAAGGGGCTCAGGTAAGGTCTTGGAGCTCTGAGCAGAGCTGGGCGTGTGGTGGGGTGAGGGCTGGGACTCCCGCGAATGAGAGGGGGGCTGGTCTCACTTGGTCCTGGGCTAGGAGGTCCCCTACTGTGTTCAACAGCTTGTAGAACATCTCAAACCAGGGAAGGTGGCTGTGGAGAGAGGACACAGGTTCCATGAAGTGCCCCTAGATCGAGGCCCTCCTCACCTGCTCCCTCCATAGTCCATACCTGAGGATACAGAGACAACTGTGAGCACCAGCCCGGAGGCGACAGAAACCAAATCTACGGGTGCCGGTCAGGTCCGTGAGGGCGAAAGTGAAATGCTGTACTGCAGGGCTGGGGGGCTCCCTGGAGGTGGGAGAGGTTCTCAGAGACCTGGGAATCACAGCTCCCCAAACCCCCACCCTCCCCCAATAATGCTCCTAGTACTGTGCCCACCAGCCTGGGGCCCTCTGTGTATAGGTCTCTAGTTGTTAGGGTCCCTGAGTCCTTGGGTCCCTAAGCCCCTAGATGTATGAATCCCTGAGTCCTTGGGTCCCTGGGTCCCTGGTGTCTGCTTCCTTCCGCACCTTTCCACATCAAAAGGGAAGCAGAATTTAGGCACCATCTGCATAGCTTCCTGGGGGTGGAGAAAAGCACATACCATTTGGCCACTCAGGTTGGGCCCCATCCCTGAGCTCCCTGTCCAAGACAAGTCCCCTCCCTCAGGGGGACTGGCCCTGGCCCAGGGGAGCAAGGAGACAGCCTACATACCTGGTCCCTGAAGTCTGGGGGGAACTGCCGCAGGATGGGGGGATCTGCAGGAAGAGCAGGCCTCTAAATTCAGTGTCTCAGGCCCACCCTCTTTCTCCCCCCTTCACTCAATGCCCCCAACTCACCCTCCTGTAGGGAGGCAGGACAGGCTGCTTCGAAGAACCAATCAAACACGGCAGGGGTACCCTCTCTGTGGGACAGAAAAGGGCTTAGTGGGTCCATGGACTTGTTTCTGTGTATGTCGTGTCTGTGTGGGTTTTGTACATGTGTGTGATTGTGTGTGACAGGTGCAACTGTGTGTGCATGACCCCCAAGGGCTGTGGCAGTGATTGCGTAGGTTGTGTGAGGCTGTGCATGTGATGGTACTGATTGTGTGTGTGTGCCTGAGAGTATAAAGCAGAGTGAGAGAGTGTGACTCTGTGTGTTCAAGACTTGTGTGAGCATGCAGGTGTGTGTTTTTGTGATTCTATCCCAAAGTTGTGTCAGCCTGAAAAAGTGAGGCTGCTCAGTGTATGTGTCAGGTAGGATTGTATGTGTGACCAAGCCAGTGTAAGGGTGAATAAGTCCATGTTTTCTTGTGTGGCTGTGAGTGTGACTGAGTAAATGTGCGAGTGTCTCTGTGGTCTTGAGAGCAAGAGGCCCTGCCCATGTATCTCTGTATAGGAGACTTCATGAGGCCCCAGGGGCTGACACCAAATTTCTCATCAGAGGAAGGAGAGCAGTGTGCCCCGGTACTTCTGTAAACCCTGCAATCTCTGACTTCCTCCCTTGTCCCCGCTTCTGCCCACCATGCAGAGGGTGCTGGGACTTGCTCTTAGGAAGAAAGACAGCAAGACCTGGAGGGCAACAGAGGAAGAGGATGGGGACTGACTGAGATGCACTGTCCCTGACATGGAGATCCCTACCACTTTTGCCTCATTCTGACACAAATTCCACACAAGCACTTACACACAGGGACACACAGAGTCCTCCCTCCCACCCTGCTGACAACCAGAAACCATGTTCCCTGTCACTCAGATATACCAAGAGGTACACGCTCAGAGTTACAAACTTAGTCGCACAAAGCTCTGGGGGTGGGGGCCCTGGGGGATGGGGCCGAGAGTGGCCTGAGTGTGCCTGAGAGTGGAGTCCATATTGTAAGCCAGCTGAAGTCCTGAACCGATTACAATTCTGGCCACCTGCCCCTGTGACTCTTAGTCCCTCCCAGGCTTGTCCCAGCCCCCCTCCCCTTGGCCCCAGCCCAGGCCTAGTCTGGGAATCTTGGTTCAGAGGATGGGGGAAGGGCCGCTCTTACTCAGCTCTGGATCCCATGGTCCCTGCAGGGCCGGGCTGGTAGGGCCCTCTCCCCAGGGGTCCTGGGGGCCGTGCTTGCGCAGGGCTGGGCCCTGAGCTGGCTCAGCTTCCTGTGTGGCTAAGAGAGGAAGTTTAATGGGTGACGTCCCCAGAGGGAGGCCCCTGCCCCCACCTACTGTGAAAAACCCAAGCATCCTCTCTCCTAGCCCTCTCCTAGTATGGGCGGGCAACTGGTGGCTCAGAGGCCAGACCCCCAGCCCCATACTGCCAGGCCAGGTCACGTCTGGTTCCCACCATTACACCCAAACCTTCCTCTCTCTGTGCAGCCCAGGATTCACAGTTTCCCTAAAATGCTTTCTCTTCCTTCAGCCTTTCTTTCCTTTCATCCACCTGCACTGGCCATTCCTTATAGGACCACCAGAGGGAGCTGGTCAGAGAGTGGACATTGGGTCACTGGGGAAGTGAACAGCCAACAGCAGTCAAAACACAGGCACAGACAGACAGAACACATACACACACACACACACACACACACACACACACACACACACACGAAACCAGGAAGTGGCTGACACAGACAAACAGGCCAAAACAGTCACAGATAGCAGACAGACACAGAGAAATACTAAGTCCTATAGGCAGGATAGAGTCATGAACACAAACTGACAAGTACAGCAGGACAGCACACACAAGGAGCACTCTTTGCCCAGCCAGGTGATAGATGCAAACAGATAACACACAGATGCAGGCACAAACAGGTTCACACAGAGGTGACAGACAGACACACATGAAAACAAGATAACAGAGAATTAAACCCAGACAACAGACAGAAATGCATAGAGCACAGGCATAGCTAGAGCAGTAACAAAGGGGATAGACTGCAAGTCTTAGGGCCCAGCTGCAAGTCATATTCACAGCCAGAGACGGTCACATGCATGTAGAGAGACACAGCTGGACACAAGAGTTGCAGACTAAGAAAGAGACAGACACATAGGCAGACAGATGTCATATTGAAACACTAGGATATATAGACGCACTTGCAGGCTTGAATCAAATTTCTGATATATCCTGTCTGTTATTATGAGAGGCAGGTCAGGTAAGTGGTTAACAGAATGATTTTGGAGCCAGAGAGACCTGGGTTCAAAGAGACGGCGTAGGCTGCAGTGGGGCTGTAGTGGGCTGCCGTAAGCTACCGTGAATGTCCAGCAGCTAGCGTGAGCAGCCGGCAGCCGGCATGAGTTGCCGTGAGCCGGCGTGAGCGGCCATCCAATGGCCGGTGACCAATGTGCCTCAGCTGGGAAGAGTGCAATGATCACAATACCAACATGGGCCAGTGAAGCGATGTCTTCCACAATTAGACTGAAGAACAAAAGGACAGCAACTTGTCTGTTCCCCTTCCCCGATTTCCCAACGCTGTTCTCTCCCCCAATTCCCCGATAAAATCTTTAAAAAACAAACAACAACAACAAAAAACGCTTGTGAAAGATTTGGAAGGTAGAAGTGACCCCCCTCCCCTTGTGTGTGTGTGTGTGTGTGTGTGTGTGTGTGTGTGTGTCCTGCTGTATATTGAATTAATTTTATTTTATATTCATTTTAATTTTTATTCAGCACTCCAGTGGACCTGTCTCCAGTTTTGTGGATGTTGGGAGGTGTTCTTGAACTTGATAGTTCTGTTGGCAGCCTGCTGAATCTCAACCTTTCTCACCAAACAGAGGAAGTACCGTAGCTCCTTAGTGGCTCAGCTTTGTGCTGTGCCAACCCATTTCAGGGCTACTCAAAATGTGGTCTCATAGGCAGCATCATCAGCATCTCATGAGAACTTGTTAAAAATGCAGTCTTGGGTCCCACCTCCCCCACCCGGCTGCATCAAAAACTCTAGGGTGGGGCCCCAGAAGCTGTGTGCTAGCTAGCAGTGTTCCTGGTGATTCTTTTATACGCTGAAGTTTAAGAAGCACTGGCCTACAGCCCACTCTCTCCACCCCTCCAATGGTGTTGTAAACCCCTAAATCCTTGTATTAAATCCCTTTCTGTTTAACATGCCTAGAATGGTCTCCACACTAAACTCTGGCTGACAAACTGGAATCAGAGTTTTAGATTTAAACTGTCAGGCTTTGAACCCCGGCTCACTGCTTCACAGCCATGGGGCCAAATTGTAATTTTCTAAGATGGCCACAGTGAGAACTCCCATCCCACATGTTCTTCTGGTATTTTGTCTCTCTACTCTCCAGAGGTGGAGTCTATAATATAGCCCACCTCCTTGAACTTGGTAGGTCTTTGTGATGGCCTTGATTAGGAGTCCAGAGGATACCAGTGACTTCTGAAGCTAGGTCAGAAAAATGTAATGCATTCCGCTTGCTCTCCTGGGATACTTGCTCTTGGGGACTTTGGCCACCATGCTGTGAGGAAGCCCAAGCAGACTGTGGAGAGGTACCAATGCCCTCCCACCTGCCTCTGCTGAATCTCCAGCTGACAGTTGGCATCAACTTGGCAGCCATGTGAGTGAGCCACCTTGAAAGTAGATCCCTCAGCCCCCTGTTGAGATTCTGTAGCTGATGCCACAGGGAGCAGAGACAAGCTGTCCTGCCAAGCCCTGCCTAAATTAAAGATTTGGGAATAAAATAAATAACTGCTGTTTTAAACTCCTAACATTTTGGGATATTTGTTACACAGAAAAAGCTAAATGATACACCTTGTCTGTCTAAACCTTTGTTTGAAAGAAGATAAAAGCTCAGACATTACAGGGTTGGTGTGAGAGTTACAAGAGACGAGGCATGTGCCAGCACATTGAAGTGCTCTATTCATGTTAGTGACTATTATTCTGGCAGGACTACCCTCGAGTGCTAGCCCCAGGCTGCTATCTTCTCAGCATCCTTCCCTAGAGATTCCCTCCTCTGCTTTTCATACTTGCAAGATGCCCCACGGAGAATGGCAGCAGCTCCATTGCCAAGCACCATTTCCAAGCTGTGTCCACGAGATCTCTAGTCCTCACAGACATCCCCTGGGTGTGTATGAGATCATGGTGGGGAAGCATATGATCCCATCACAAGTGAGCAAATTGAGATCGGCGAGGGCAAGTGGTTTATTCAACACCACACAGTTAATTACTGGCATAGCTTGGTCTGTCTGATTCCAAGACTTCTTTCTGACCTCCTACCTTCTGACCCCCAGATTAGATGTCCCTTCAGTGCCCACCTCCATCCTGCAGGAAGGAGCCCTTGTTTGTTGGCTATCCCATAGGGAGATAAAAAATGCACTTGGCAGAAACATGGCAGGACAACATTTTTTTTATTGTTGGCAGAGGGGAAGAGTATGGGGAGGGTTGGGGGCACAGCTTCTCTTGTCCACATGCTCCAGGGCTTCCTTCTCCCCCTGCGGCACTCCTTCACTACCCCTGGAAAGCCAAGGTCAGTTGGAGCTGAGGGGAGTGAGAGCAGGGATGAAACAGAGTTACAGGAGCCAGAGAGAAGGCAGGGTCTGAGGGCAAGTGGGCTTGTGGGGTCAAAGGTGAGGGAAAGTCAGAGGTGAAGGGAGGCTCTAAAGTAGGGGGTCAAAAGTAAACTGGGGCTTATGGCCTGGGAGTGCATTGGGTTTGTGGGTAAAGTCAAAGGTTAACTTGAGGTTAAGGTGAAGGACGGCTCATGGAGTTAAAGGTGGGGCTTGTGGGGTCAAAGGTGAAGCAGTACTCTTGGTGGTGTGGAAGTTGGGAGAGCTCAAGGGGGTAGGAGATGAAATGGGGCTCAAGGGTCAAAGGTTGGCTGAGATCAGGTGTGAAGTGAAGATTGTAGGGTCAAAGGGCCAGAGGTAAGTCAGGCTTGGAGGTGATGTGGGGTTCTTGGAGACCCAAGGAGGGCTCTAAGGAGTCAAAAGTAAGCAGTCTAGCGGGGTGGAGGAAGGGGGATGGGGGGCGGGTGGGGGGAGACACAAAGTGAACGAGGCAACCCTAGGCCACCTCCTCCTCGGCCTCTTCCTCGAACTCGCCCTCCTCAGCCGTGGCGTCTTGGTACTGCTGGTACTCGGACACCAGGTCGTTCATGTTGCTCTCGGCCTCGGTGAACTCCATCTCGTCCATGCCCTCGCCCGTGTACCAGTGCAGGAAGGCCTTGCGCCGGAACATGGCCGTGAACTGCTCTGAGATGCGCTTGAACAGCTCCTGGATGGCGGTGCTGTTGCCGATGAAGGTGGCAGCCATTTTCAGGCCGCGGGGCGGGATGTCGCACACGGCCGTCTTCACGTTGTTGGGGATCCACTCCACGAAGTAGCTGCTGTTCTTGCTCTGCACGCTCAGCATCTGCTCATCCACCTCCTTCATGGACATGCGGCCCCGGAACACGGCAGCCACCGTCAGGTAGCGGCCGTGGCGGGGGTCACAGGCGGCCATCATGTTCTTGGCGTCGAACATCTGCTGGGTGAGCTCAGGCACCGTCAGGGCCCGGTACTGCTGGCTGCCCCGGCTGGTCAGGGGGGCAAAGCCGGGCATGAAGAAGTGCAGGCGTGGGAAGGGCACCATGTTCACAGCTAGCTTGCGAAGGTCAGCGTTGAGCTGGCCTGGGAAGCGCAGGCAGGTGGTGACCCCGCTCATGGTGGCTGACACCAGGTGGTTGAGGTCGCCGTAGGTGGGCGTGGTCAGCTTGAGGGTGCGGAAGCAGATGTCGTAAAGGGCCTCATTGTCAATGCAGTAGGTCTCGTCCGTGTTCTCCACCAGCTGGTGCACGGACAGCGTGGCGTTATAGGGCTCCACCACTGTGTCCGACACCTTGGGCGAGGGCACCACACTGAAGGTGTTCATGATCCTGTCGGGGAACTCCTCTCGGATCTTGCTGATGAGCAGCGTGCCCATCCCAGACCCCGTGCCACCGCCCAGAGAGTGGGTCAGCTGGAAGCCCTGCAGGCAGTCACAGCTCTCAGCTTCCTTCCGGACCACGTCCAGGACAGCGTCCACCAGCTCTGCGCCCTCTGTGTAATGGCCCTTGGCCCAGTTGTTGCCAGCTCCAGACTGGCCTGAAGAGGGAAGGGGACACATAGGCAGTTGTGGGGAGAGCCCACCCCCAGCCATCCAAGTAGTTGAATAATAATAATAATGAAAATAATAATAATAAAGTATTATTACATATAAGATAAATTATTATAATTTTGTTATTATTAATCATTCTCTTTGCTTCCATCTTTGATCCCTTTACCCAGCAGCTGTTTCCTCCACCTTGCACATCTTTCCTCCATTCAATGCCCTTTGGTCAGTTCAAGTCCTTTTAAGCTGCAGATATTAATAATAACAATGATAATGAAAACAACAACAAATGCTTATTTACCTTTTCCTCTGTGCTAGGCATTGTTCTAAATTCTTTACACATATTAATGGCTTTAAGCCTCACAGTCCTGCAAAGTAGATCTTATTATAATCCCTGTTTTAAAGATGAGGAGACAGGCACAGAGAGACTGAGGAGCCCACCCAAAGTCACCCAGCTGACAGGATCAGTGCCTGAGTTTTACTTACTTATATTCTTATCCCACCTTCCTCAACCGGGATGCCAGCTTCAAGGGAGATAGAAAGCTTTGTCTGTTTTGTTCTCAGCTGTATCCCCAGGGGATACAGTAGGGCCTGGTATGCAATTGGTGCTCAATAAGTATTTGTCCAATGCATGAAGTGGAAGAACTGGGATTTGCATGCAAGCAATCTGGCTTTGGTTCACTGTTAAATTAAAATGCTACCTCCTCCAGGAAGCCTTCCCTTCCCTCACCCACCCCGCTGTATCAGATGCATCTCCCATCACTGTGTTGACTGCCCTGCCCGCCTTCCCCACTGGGCTGTGGGGCCCCATGGTCACCATTGAGTTTCTGATGATAGGTGAAAAAATTTCACCAAGCATTTGGAAGTGAAAGGAATGAGGGGCCTTCCCTGACTGTGCTTTCTGCCCAGGACTTACCAAACACGAAGTTGTCGGGCCGAAAGATCTGGCCAAAGGGGCCAGAGCGGACTGAGTCCATGGTGCCTGGCTCCAGGTCCACCAGCACGGCTCTGGGTACATAATTCCCTCCTGCAGGGAAGCAGATGGAAGGCAGCTGGGGTGAGGGCCAGGAACCAGCATGCTGTCCCCTCCCAGGACTTCCCCATCCCCACTCCCGCAGGTGCCCCTGCGCCCTACCTGTGGCCTCATTGTAGTACACATTGATTCTCTCCAGCTGCAGGTCACTGTCCCCATGGTATGTGCCCGTGGGGTCGATGCCATGCTCATCACTGATCACCTCCCAGAACTAGAGGGGTGGTGGTGGTGGTAAGAATCAAGAGAGGTGGAGCAGGGGTCCAGGCCTGCCCCAGCCTCCATTTTCTGGGCTCAGGACCCCAAACCACTTCCCTGGCTGCCACCTGTACCCCAGCAAAGTGAATGGGGGTACCTAGAGGCATGGTGGGGAGGCAGGGATGAAACAGCAAGAAGGGAGAGGTGGGGGTGGGTGAAGCAGAGTCATCACCCCAGGCACGCCAGCTGGTGTCAGTTGGCTCTGGCTGTAGCCCTGGGGAGAGGCTGGATCTCTTTGTGCGTGTGCAGGGGACAGTGGGCCAGCTGTGGCGCCAGCTGTGGCCAGCGGACAGAAGACTGGGCCCCCCATCAGCCTCTTTGTTCCTAGCCTGGCCCTGTCCCCGCGCCCCCTTCCCCACCGTCCCTGGAGTTCTGGCCTCCTGGCGACCCCGTCCCCCAAAAGGCCCAAGGTCGGGTAGCTCTGCAGAGCTCTAGGATCTGCTCCACTCCTTCTCGGCTTCCTCCCGGGGCCCAATCACCCGCGCACCTTGGCCCCGATCTGATTGCCGCACTGGCCGGCCTGCAGGTGCACGATCTCGCGCATGGTGGCGGCGCTGCGTGGACGGGGCGGCGGTGCCGCTGATGCTGGGAACTGCGGTGGCGGGACTGGAGGTGGAAACGGTGGCGGTGGCAGCGACCAAGCAAGGTCCTTGCGCCCCTGGGGCGCCTCTATAAAAGCGGGCAGGGCCCGCGTCACCGCCCTGCCCCGCCCCCTGGCCCCGCCCCGGCACGGAAGGGGGTGGAGGGAGCTCCCTCCCCAGCGGCCTGGAGACTTCCTGGAATACGCGCTGGGGTTCGCCAGGGCCTCTTGCACCTCCACCTTGGACCGTGGCGAGAAGGCCTGTTAGGCGCTATCAGCACCATCTCCCCCGGGTTTTGCAGAGATTGGGCGGGTGAAGGGAGAGGCCCGTTAAACAGCAGAGAGGAGACGCCGCCTTCCCTCGCCCGGGCGGCCCTGCCTCAGTTTATCTGCCCGCAGCCTCCCTCTACATCCCATCTATGTACCATTCGCCAGAACCCTTGTATTACCGGGAGGCTCCTAGTGGGTTCGAGCTGGGGGCTTCGGAGCTGCCATCTGTTCCCCCCTCCCCCTGGGGGGGGGTTGGGGATGGGCAGTCTGTTCCTGGAGGACTTGTCTTGAAGCTGTGAAGTCAGTAAAACCACGATTTTCCTTCCAGGTTTCACTGGGGGATGCTTTGGAAGCTGATGGAGGTTTGAGGGATCCATGTGCTCCCCCTGGACACCTCTTTTGGGCTTTGGGTCCGTCGCAGGTGGGGTCACCCCAGTCTTGCCTGGATGGAACATCAAGGTTTAAGATTTATAGCTGGATTTCATCTTGCGGGGGATAGTGAGCACCCAAGGGCTGCATTGCTCCCCCTACCTCAGCACCTCTCTACTCCAATGTTATGATTTATTGCAAGCAATCACCCTACCTTCCCATTTCTTATTAGCCATATGACTTTGCACTGGCAGCTTTGTCTCTCTGTGGCTGAATTTACTCATTGGCAAGAAGGGGCAGTCAG